AGACGGGGTTTCACCATGTTGGTCAGGCTGGTCATGAACTCCTGACCTCGGGTGATCCGCCCGCCTTGGCCTCCAAAGTGCTTGGATTTCAGGCGTGAGCCACCACGCCCGGCCACTTGATATCTTACTGTTTCACACCATCTTGACTTAAAAGTAGAGACATCTAGAATTGTTTTTTTTTTTTTTGTTTTGTTTTTTGAGATGGAGTTTCGCTCTTGTTACCCAGGCTGGAGTGCAATGACGCGATCTCGGCTCACCGCAACCTCCGTCTCCTGGGTTCAGGCAATTCTCCTGCCTCAGCCTCCTGAGTAGCTGGGATTACAGGCATGTGCCACCATGCCCAGCTAATTTTTTGTATTTTTAGTAGAGATGGGGTTTCACCATGTTGACCAGGATGGTCTCGATCTCTTGACCTCGTGATCCACCCGCCTCGGCCTCCCAAAGTGCTGGGATTACAGGCTTGAGCCACCGCGCCCGGCCCGACATCTAGAATTGTTAAACGCTGCAAAGGTACAAAGACATCAGGAAAATGTAGAAAAATCCATTCTTGATCTCATACTTTAATAAGTATTTACTTACTTATGAGAGTAGCAATAACTTCAAAACAGATGAGTTGGTTGTTCTGGAATAATTTTACAAACGGAAATGCCAAGAGTGGAAGATACGGTGTGTCACTAAAAATGACAGACCAGTGAGCTAATGCAGATAAGGTTCTGTGAATAAAATAACTTAGCATTAACATTTACTTGAATAAATCATATATTCACATGATAAACATTTTATACAAAAGGTATATTTGGTGAAGATTCTTCCTGGTACCCCTATCATCTAGTTCACCTCTTTAGAAATACCCCTGTTAAAAGTATAAATCCTTTTTTAAAAAACCACAAATAGTAGTATATTATAAAAATTGTTCTGTACTTTGCATTTTTCAATTAATGGCATCTCAGAAATAATGTATATCAGTATATGCAGACCTTCCTTAAGACATTTTACAGATGCATGTGATAGCTTTGTATCAATACACCTTCATTTCTTTCTTTCTCTTTTTTCTGAAACAGGGCCTCGCTTTGTTACCCAGGCTGGAATGCAGTGGCACAATCATGGCTCACTGCAGCCTTAAACTCCTAGGCTCAAGTGGTCTTCCTGCCTCAGTCTCTTGAGTAGCTGGGCCTACAGGTGTATGCCGCTATGCCTGGCTAATTTTTTTGTGGGTAGAGGCAGGATCTCACTATGTTACCCAGGTTGGCCTCAAACTCCTCAGCTCAAGTGATTCTGCTGCCTCAGCTTCCCAAAGTGCTTGAATTAGAGGCGTGAGCCACTGGTGTCCCGCCACCTTCATTTCTTTAACATGATCTCTATTGTTGGGCATTTGCTTCCAATCTTTTATTTATTTATTTTTGAGACAGAGTTTTGCTCTTGTTGCCCTGGCTGGAGTGCAATGGCCTGATCTTGGCTTGCCACCATCTCTGCCTCCTGGGTTCGAGCTATTCTGCCTCTGCCTCCCGAACAGCTGGGATTACAAGCATGTGCCACCATGCATGGCTAATTTTGCATTTTTAGTAGAGACGGGATTTCTCCATGTTGGCCAGGCTGGTCTCGAACTCCTGACCTCAGGTGATCCGCCCACCTTAACCTCCCAAACTGCTGGGATTGCAGGTGTGAGCTGCCGTGCCCGGCCGCTCCTAGAACTTTTTTGCCCACTAATTTTAGCACCAATTGGTGGATCTTGCCTCCAACAATTATCACTGTGGTGTCCTAATGGTGATTTTCTATTTCTCGAATTGCTTCTACATTTATTAGAACTCTCCCTTCTCCCTCATTTATGCCTTCATTTAATGATTTATGTCAAGATAAACTCATGGATATTTATTATATTCTACAAGTTATAATTGATTGTTATTTATTTTATTCCTCAAATTGTTCCAGCTTTGTCCACTGGAACTTTCAGGTTGAGTCATGTGCCCTTGACATGCCTATCCTTTCTGAACACTTCCTTACTTTACGGCACTAAAAGATGCTTCAGGTTCATCTTGTATTTTCCTTATACCAGTAGGTGTGTTCATTGCTACCAGGGTGTCATTGCTAGGCCCTCTTAGTAGACAGAGCTTGGAAATATATGTGTGTACACTAACTCCTGCATACATACATATCTTTATTTCTTTCTGTGTCTATTTATATGCACAAGTGCTAAGAACCAACACTATCGATTCCCATCAACTACTGCAAGATTCATTCGAACACTTTTTCTTATTTGTATCTTCTTTCTCTGAGTGTAAGAAACCTGGCTCTCATCTCTAATTAGTTATTTGTATACAAAAAGTGGCTTCTACACATAAAGTAGTTTCGGACTGCTAACCCCACATTATTTCTAATACTTTGATGGTTTTGTTTTTTAGAAAACTAATTAAATCTGCCGGGCGTGGAGGCTCAAGCCTGTAATCCCAGCACTTTGGGAGGCCGAGGCGGGTGGATCATGAGGTCAAGAGATCGAGACCATCCTGGTCAACATGGTGAAACTAAAAATACAAAACATTAGCTGGGCATGGTGGCGCGTGCCTGTAATCCCAGCTACTCAGGAGGTTGAGGCATGAGAACTGCCTGAACACAGGAGGCGGAGGCTGCGGTGAGCCGAGATCGCGCCATTGCACTCCAGCCTGGGTAACAAAAAAAAAAAAGAAAAGTAATTAAATCTTTAGTTCAAGCAGAATTTATCCTGGTGTAAGATATGAGGTATGCTTGCAACTGTTTCTAGATGGCTAGCTAGTTATTCTATGTCATTTACTAAATAACTTTTCTTCATCACTGTGAAATGTCATCTTTAAAAACAAGTCAATTTTTGAATGTAGCTTGGTCTATTGTTAGAATCTGCATATCAATTTATGTATCAGCAGCAATTTCAATTATTTTAGCTTTATAATAGTTTTTACTATTAAGGCTAATTCCCTCTCATTACTGTTTAAATATAAATTATTTTTGAAGAAGTATACTTTATAGTTAATGTGGCAAGCAGAATAATGCAAATTGTTCCCCTCCCTAAAAGATGCCCATGCTGTAATCCCTGTAATCCATGAAGATATTATTTCACCTGGGATTTTGCAGATATGGTTAAGCACCCTGGGGTGAGGGCATTTATCCTGGACCACCTGGGTGGGTCCAATCTAATCACACAGGTCCTTAAAATCAAAGAACCCCTTCCTGGTTGTGGTCAGAAGAAAATACGACTACAGAGATGGTCACAGATGGTCAGAGAGATGCTTTGAAGACAGAGACGGTGGGCCTGAGTCATGAAATGTGGGAAGCCTGCAGAAGCTGGATAAGGCAAGGCAAAGGATTCTCCTCAGAGCCTCTGGAAAGCAATGTAGCCCTGCTGACACTCTGATTTTAGCCCAGTGAGATCCAACCTATGGTGAACTTCTGCCTACCAAGCTCTAAGGATAAATCTGTGTTGTTTTTAAGCTACTACATGTGTGGTAATTTGCTATGGTGGCAATCGGGAACTAATATAGTTAATGGAGTTAATAGGCTACTTCAGACATTTTTTATTATTCGATACAATACTCAGAGCAACCCCAGGAGGGAGGGATTAGCAACACTGCTGAGTCTAGGAAATGGAATTCCAGAGACTATAAGGAAATCCTCATTACTGGAAGGGCTAGAAATCAACCTAAATATAAGAACATGTTCTCCTAAGGATAGTACTTTCATAATTATAGAAGTTATGTATTCAACAATAAGTTCCCATCTTTTGACTGACATCAGATTACTTTGTTGAGAGATGACTTAAAAACAAAATTAGCCAGGTGTGGTGGTTCCCACCTGTAGCAGCTACTTGAGAGGCTAAGGCGGGAGGATCAGGTGAGCCCAGGAGTTCAAGGCTACGGTGAGCTATGATTATGTCACTGTCCTCTAGCCTGGGTGACAGAGCGAGACCCTGTCTCAAAAAACAAAAACAGAAATGAAAACAATAATTTGATTATATATGCCTAGTGGGATATAACCTAAGAAAAAAAAGAACTATAAAAAATATTTTGGACTGTTTTCAATAATCATAATATTCACATTGTTATTATTTATAGTTACTGAATATAGTTTTATTATACAGTATACATATATGGAGCTTAAAAAACATTGTGTGTGTGTGTGTGCGTGTGTGTGTCTATGTGTGTTAAAGAAAATAAGGAATTATGTCAATGTTGCTAGAAATCAAGATTTTTAACCTAAGAAAAAAGATACAAATATAAAATCAAAGAAGCTGTGCAAAAACTTTGTAATATTAAATCCGAATTGAAAATACTAGCACGAACTCCTGGTTCTATCTATTGTAAAGGCCTATATGTTAAATCTGAGTTCACAATAATACACTGATCACTCTGGAAGGCTGCAAGGTAATCAGTTTACTATTCTGAAAACTGGTTTTTTTTTTCAAAAAAGGTACCAAGCATTTAACTTCCCTTTCCTACATGGGTTGTATCTTAGAGTAACCAAATAGATCCTAAGAACTTCCTCTTTAGAAAAATTTCCCAGTTTATAAAATGAGAAAGAATAGAATTATATTATCACTGTTTTGCTCATCTCTGGTTAAATAATGGATCTAGGCAATAATCATCAATGGACAATAACATCACCAAAAGACACAGTCACGTATGAATTATAATCCACCTAACAGAAGTACATAAAACCTCCTAGGAAGTTTTCTTGCAAGCCAAAGAAACAATTACCAAAGGGAGAAAATAAAAACCTTGGCTCAGATCAAGCCCCTAGCTCTAATTGTCAGTTTATAGTAAATTCAGAAGAGAAACATGTTAAACAATACTATGAAATAAAATCAACAAAATCCGGAACATAGAGGGCTGTATGGATTAAATAACCTGGTTTCTCCCAACAAATAAATTGTAAAGAAAAAAAGAGGTAGTCAGAATCTATAGATTAAACTCAGCGGGGTATCAGCCAAATGGAATGTGTACAGGTTGTTTGAATCCTGATTTGAACAAGTTTACATAAGAAATTTTTTTTAAGACAATCAGAGGAATGCTGATTGAATATTTGAAGATAATAAAGAATTATTAATTCTTTTTTGTGTGTGAGTATGGTAGTGTGCATATGGTAAAGAAAGAGTCCTTATCTTTTAGGGATACATATCTAAATATTTAGCAGGGGGAGTGTGTACATGTTGGGCTGTGGGGTGTCGAGTGAGTGGGAATATTCACCCAACATGATTGGCCATGAGTTGGCAAGCACTGAAGACTGAAGCTGGGTGATGGGCATGGGGATATTTGTTACATTATTTTTATTCATGCTTGAAATTTTTCAGAATTTTTTTTTTTTTTTTTTTGAGTTGGAGACTCGCTCTTGTTGCTCAGGCTGGAGTGCAATGACACAATCTTGGGTCACTGCAACCTCTACCTCCCAGGTTCAAGTGATTCTCCTGCCTCAGCCTCCCAAGAAGCTGGGATTACAGGCACCTGCCACCACACCGAGCTAATTTTTTGCATTTCTGGTAGAGATGGGATTTAACCTTGTTGGCCAGGCTGGTCTTGAACTCCTGGCCTCAGGTGATCCACCCGCCTCAGCCTCCCAAAGTGCTGGAATTACAGGCGTGAGCCACTGCACCTGGCCATAAAAAAATATTCTTAAAAAAAGTCTTTGACTCTGGAACCTGGGCTTAATCTTAGCTCTACCACTGCTGTGACTTGATCAAATTTCCTAATCTCTCTATGCCTCAGTTTCTTTACCTATAAGTTAAATGTGCCTAACACATGAAAAGAATGTTAAAGGATGAGCTACTGTTACTAGGTCTTTTGCCTTCTAATTCAAAGCTCTTTCTACTATGCCTCTTGCTTTTCTTTCTTTCTTTTCTTTTCTTTCTTTTTTTGATGGAGTCTCGCTCTGTTGCCCAGGCTGGAGTGCAATGGTGCAATCTTGGGTCACTGCAACCTCCATCTCCCGGGTTCAAGTGATTCTCCTGCCTCAGCCTCCCGAGTAGCTGGGATTACAGGTGCCCGCCACCACACCTGGCTAATTTTTGTATTTTTAGTAGAGACATCATAAATTTCACCATGGTGGCCAGGCTGGTCTCCAACTCCTGACCTCAGGTGATCCACCCACCTTGGCCTCCCAAAGTGCTGGAATGTTCTTTTAGATTAATCTGAAAGAGTCCTATTTTCTAGAATGCAACACAAACTAATATTCATATGTAATATATGTGTATGTACATTTTTAAAACTAAAACAACGTATCACATAAAGATAACCAAACTGACCAAACAATATTTTATAAACAGAAAAATTTTTAAAACACTGCAATTATTAGTTACAGGTCTCATACACGTTGCTGCAATATATAGAACATACCTCTGTAATACTCTGAGTAGTTTCCTACTTTTGATGGGGTATTTCTTCTGAAGGTTGAGAAACGCCACATGAGTCCCCTTATCTATGAGGCTACTAAATGCAGTATGATTTTCAGGCAGTTGTAGTAGAGAGCGCCAAATGAACATTCTGAAATAAAAATATATTTTAACCTCCCAATTTTTTTTGAGTAAAATTGATGTAACATACAGAATTTAAATTGTACCTGTATTTTGTTGGATATTCCCCATAGCCTTTTAATAAGATTTGTAAACGCTTTTTGTTTAATCCATCTGGTAATTCATTCTATAAAGAAAAAGACAGTACTAATAAATGACATAATCATTAAAACTGAAATGGTGACAAATGGTAATCTAGTTCCCCAGTGACTTTCTAACTTTAGAAAATAACACATAGAAATATTTGTGTACCATAAGTGTTTTCCCCGCTCCCATCTCTCACTCTCTTGAGCATGCATATACACAGCCAATAAAGTTCATGATATAGTATCTTCCCTAGATAAGCTTGACAAACTTTTTCTGTAAAGGGCTATGATATGGTTTGGCTCTGTGTCCCCACCCAAATCTAACCTTGAATTATAATCCCCATAATCCCCATGTGTTGAAGGAGGGACCCAACAGGAGGCGACTGGATCATGGGGGGCAGTTCCCCCATACTATTCTTGTGATAGTGAGTTCTCAAGAAATCTGATGATTTTGTAAGTGTTTGACAGTTCCTCCTCTACATAGTCCTCTCTCTCTCCGCCTGCTGCCTTGTGAAGTGCCTGCTTCCCCTTCACCTTCTGCCATGATTGTAAGTTTCCAGAGGCCTCCACAGCCATGCGGAACTGTGAGTCAATTAATCTTCCTTTCTTTGTAAATTGACCAGTCTCAGGTATTATTCTTTATAGCAGTGTGAAAACAGGCTGATACAGACCAGTTAGTAAATATTTTAGGTTTCGTGGGCCAAGAAGAAAAATCAAGAATATTATACATTTATATTTAACCACTTAAAAATGCAAAAACCATTTTCAGCTTGAATAGCTGAATTAGGCCCACGGACTGTCATTTGCTGACCCCTGCATCAAAGGGCAATAGATTCAGCTAGCTTTACCCCCATCTTTCTCTTTCCTTAAAATTCTAGGCAATTCCTAGCATTAAAGCATCAAGGACAAGTCTGGCAGAAAAACATGTGCAGTTCACCATTTTATCCTAACAGACATCAGCTCCTGCTGATAGTTCCTTATGTCTGAAACTTTTAAGTCAATTTTTATCTTAATAAAAAAAATTTTATAGAATTTAGGATTAGAAAGCTGTTTTCATATATTATCTCCACTGCATCTAACAACTATATGAAAGAGATGAGATGTCTTCCTTTATTTAAGAACATGGGAAAATCAGAGAAGTTTGGTGAATTGCTTATGGTCACAAATCTGCTAAATCTTGGCTCAAGACTTAAAGCCAGACTTTCTGATTTAGTGCTCTTTTTACCACAATAAACAGGTAGTCCAATCTAAGAGGAGAGTGAAGGGAAAACCCAAGATGATGGTGAATGAAGATTTCCCACTTGAGTGCTATGTGCAAGGTATAGAGCGCAACCAGTGCAAATGAGAGCAGTACGATCCAGGAAGACTGCCTGCATCATCGAAATATCTGCTGCCGCTGAAGCCTCTTTTTAAACAAAGGATAAAATGTCCTGCAGAGTTTGGCCTCGATTTGATCTGTTCCTGTCTTGCCCATAAGCTGATAAAGTTCCTTCTTTCCTTTCCATGTGCTAATGCAAAGATTAGTTGAGGACTTACATTTCACCCCATCGAAGTCTTCTACTTTGACCTACTTTTTAGAGCTGGCTATGGTTTCTTTGGAAGCAGCTCTACTCCTTGACATATTTCTGTAGGATATCCAGATATGATCCACACTACAGTGCTGCCAGATACCCTGACATGATGAATCTTTTACTTCCCAAAGTTATTCATGACCATTCCCACCAGTTTTCCCAGAAAAGGTCCTGCAAACTCTCAGGAAAGCTGAAGTCAGAAAGTCTCAGAGATACCATTCAGCTTATCTTTGCATTAAAGCATTCATCAGATAGAAACAACATTGACCAATCTTTGTACAACTAGGCTAGGCTTGTGTCTGCTATTCAGTTTTTTCTTTAAAGAAATAACATTTTGTTTAGAGTTACATGAAGAGGTTATAAGACTATAAAGAAAATCAAGGGCATAATTAACACAAAGTAAGGACAATGGTTATATATATATATATATGGAGCGGGGAGAAAAATGTGATGGGGGTAAGCACACAGGGGCCTCCACAGCTACTGGTAATGCTCTATTTCTTCATGTAGAAATGTGTATGTGCAGAAAAAATTTAACACAAGCTGGTCTGAGCCTGCTACCCTTACAGGGCTTACTTGCAAGGTTGGCCTTTGGCTGGTGTCTAGAAGTTGAATTTCAGGAGAGTTCTTACCACCCCCAAAACCAATTAAGAGTGGCTCACTGTGCTTAAACTGTTCGTACAATGTGGTTTATGCTGAATGTCCACCTTCCTTCTGGGAGTCTGGAATTTGAAGCCTGTTAAACAGGGTACCTACAGAACCAGCCTCTAGTAAAAATCTTGGGCACCAGGTCTCTAATATTTATATTAGAGGTAATATTGAACCCTAAATATATTTATGTTTTTCCCCATACATACATACTTGTAATAAAGTTTAATTTATAAATTAGGTACAGTAAGAGATTAACAATCATAACTAATAATAAAATAGAACAATTCTGACAATATGTGAATATCAGTACTTTTGTGTTCTGGAGAAGATTTTAAGTAAAATAAGGGTTACTTGAATGAACACAAGCACTGTGATACTGTGACAGACCTGATAAGCAAGAGGCTACTGAGTGACTATGCCAGATAAAATGATGATTCTTGTGGCAGGTGGAACAGAGCAAGATGGCATGAGACTTCATCATGCTACTCAGAACGGTGTGCAATTTAAAACTTATGAATTGCTTATTTCTGAAATACTCCTTTTAATGTATTTGGAGCACAGCTGACTGCATGTAACCAAAACAATGGAAAGTGAAACCATGGGTCAGGAAGGACACTGTACTAAAATCAATGTGAAAAGTATCAGGTATTATTGGGGAGAATATGGAGCAACTAGAACTCTGAAGTACTGCTGGTAGGAATGTAAATCAACAACTTTTCAATCAACCGCTTAGGAGAACTGACAGTATTTACTAAACTAACCTACAGTGTATCAGTAGAATAGTTATTCTGGGGGGAAGGGAGAGAGCGAGCATGGAATAGAGCAGGAAGCTGATGGTAAGGTCCCAGTTTTTGATCCAGGTGCTGGTAACACGGTGTGTGCAGTTTGTGAAAGTTTGCTGAGCTGTGTGTATACTTAATGTGTACTTTGTATATATGTGTGTATATATTTGTCATTAAAAAGTTTTAAAATCCCTTGAAAATAAGGTAACTTCTCTATTAAAAGCTATATTTTCTTTCTTTCTCAAGGTAATATGGCTGAGTGTGGCAGCTCATGCTCGTCACAGCACTTTGGGGGCTGAGGTGAGAAGATCACTCGAGGACAGGAGTAAGACCAGCCTGTGCATAATTTCATTTACAACTTTAGTCTCTTCATTTATTCTCTTTTTTTAATTCCCAAGAGAGGGAAGAGTGGTGATGGCTTAGAAATCACAAGACTTGTCTATAGCAGAGTCACAACAAACAAAATCTAATTACCAAATATTCTTACCTTTTTACTTTCAAAATTACTAGTCAGGTCTTGTTTTAATATTCTAGTTTGTATTTTGCTTTCCCTAGATTTTGCCGACTGCTGAACTCTTCCTGATGTTACTTTCATCTTAAGATCACTGGAACTCAGTTTATTCTTAGGCAAATCTTCAATAACTTTCACTAAAGGTGGAGGTGGCTAAATGGAAAAATAAATATACATATTCTAATGGACATCCTTGGAAGACAGACCTGTTAATATATGACTTTCAAAATTTGCTTTAATAACATGTCTTAATATGCAGAATTATTATTCAGGCAAAAAACCTAAGTAAAATGTCTAGGAACATTTGCTTTGACTAAAAAATCAAAGCAAATTTCTGCTGAATTCCTTTGAAGAACATAATATACATGATTAACAACAGAAATAAATGTAATTATTCCTTGAAAGCCAATCTTAAATCATTTAATACCAAACCATGTTTACACATATATGATAAAGTTAGTATGGTGATTATTATCCACAGCAAAAAAAGGCATAGTTAGAGGTATGGCCCTCTAGAATTCTGACAGAAGTACCCTAATATTCTCTGGGCTAAGAGGAAACTGTCAAAGTTTTTCTAGAAGAAAAACTGACTTTCTTCTAGAAGCATGAAACCTCTGCCTCTCTATCCCTTGGTTGAATGTTTTAATCTGCTTAGCGATCTGTATTATTTCCTTATTGTATCAACAGCTTAAACGGTTCAGATAATATGACTTAGAATCTATACCTTCATCTTTATGGGGCCCATCAAACAGGGAGAAAAACCCAAACAACTTCAATTTACTTAAAGTAACATTACTCACTAGAACATTTTCTCCATAAATAATATTCTCTTTGAAATCAAAAGATCTTCGTTCAAAGGAAGTGAGCAAATAAGGTAACTCAGGCTTTCTAAGCTCTTTTTTTTTTTTTTTTTTTGAGACGGAGTTTCGCTCTTGTTACCCAGGCTGGAGTGCAATGGCGCGATCTTGGCTCACCGGAACCTCCGCCTCCTGGGTTCAGGCAATTCTCCTGCCTCAGCCTCCTGAGTAGCTGGGATTACAGGCACGCGCCACCATGCCCAGCTGATTTTTTGTAGTTTTAGTAGAGACGGGGTTTCACCGTGTTGACCAGGATGGTCTCGATCTCTTGACCTCGTGATCCACCCGCCTCGGCCTCCCAAAGTGCTGGGATTACAGGCGTGAGCCACCGCGCCCGGCAGGCTTTCTAAGTTCTAAATACAATTCAAGTACAATGACCATTTATAGTTTATGATTCAGTTCTTTACTTCATCTACAGGATGAGATTAATAGTGGTCTGACTTATGAATATTACCCATCTTTAATATCCTTAAACTGTTTTTTGACTTCAATCCATTCTTCTAAATTTTTATTAAACTTTCCATCTAATGTCATAGTTTCCTGTTTGAGCCTTACCCTCTACCATAAGTATAACCTCCCAAAAAGAACCTGAGAACGACCTGAATTGACATACCTTTGTAGTGTTAAACCTTCAATACATAAGAATTCATTTACTCTATTACCACAATACCAGAAATTCTCCAATGACAAGAAAATAAAACTGGTAAGAATGGGACAAAGGTGAGTTAGATTTACAGAGAATAGAGAGCGGAACATTAACATAGGCTGGAACAGACAAAAGACAGATGGTATTGATAATGTGTCCAAAAAATAAGACCATTCTACTTCTAAGCTAGCTTTTCTATTCATGTGATCTCAATTTCCTCAACAGATAACAAGCAGAAAGGAACTAAACGACTCACTCTTACCATAGTTTTTCTCAGATCTCTGCCTGCCTCTATGAAGAAAGTTTAGCTAGTACTGTAAAACTGACTATTCAAAGAGGCTGAAAACTCTCTCAGTAAGAGCAGATATTAATACCTTATTACTTTATTAAAAACTGTATTAATATATAGCACATATTATAATATAAATACATATAGTATATATAATGATATAAAGAGCAAAAGAGCAGCAGAGTATAGTCCTACATGTTTAGAGAAAATGTATGCATACACACACACACACGCATGTGTACCTGCATGCACACCAAACATATATATATACAGTGAATTCTCATTATTTGCACTGGTTCTATAAAGTCACCATGAACACTCAATTAGTGAATACTGAAACGCTGCTCCTGGGGAAACACGGAGTCCAGTTCCTGAGAGTCTCATTAACCACTGAATGCATAACCTTGTTCTATGTGTTTCTGTTTATAGGCATCTTATTTAATTCAGATTGTTGATTTGGTGTCACCGAACTCACAGCTAATAGCACTACAACTCATTCCTGAATGAGTTTATCTAACACACGTATTTTCTCTGTAAGGTACGCCACAGCCTCCCGTGTTTAGAAACAATAAATAGTGTTTCAGTGCTATGCTTAGGGACCACTTTAAACAGTAAAATCTTAACAAGAAGCCTCAAAATGCAAAAAAAATAAAATAAAAATAAAAAGGCATTAAGTAGACGACAAATAAGATACTTGTTTAAACTATGAGAGCTGAAATAAGAAGACGGAGTGTTGCCTTGTTTGACTTCAGCAGGGAGAAAGGATATCTATCAGGTGGCTCAAATTTTTCAGTGCTCTGTGCATGTCCCTGAATGACCATGAACTCACTGCAAGTATCAATTTTGACGTTGCAAATAAATTTTAGTGAGTAGGAGAATTCTCATGTATCGAATGCACAAATAATGAGGAGTGACTATATATTTACACACATAGAAAAGAAACTGGGAAAGTATAAATCAGAACCATCTGAGAATGGTGTGGTGAGGCTTTCAGTGATTTGTATTTGCCTATTTGTTATTCTGTATATTCTTTTTTTTTCTGCAATGAGACACTAACTACTTGTATAATTTTTTTAAAAAGATAAAGAAAACAAAAAGGAGGAGGCATATCAAAAAAAGAAGGTATTAGGAATCAGAACACCATCTACGGCCATACTACGTCAAATGCGCCCAATCTCATGTGATCTTGGAAGAACTGGAACACCCAGAACTCCTAGTTACTAGCTATGTGATTAAGTTTGAGAATGAACTTCTTCCTGTGTAAAATAAAAGGGTGAGACCAGGTGATCATCAAAGTCTCTGTGAGGGCCACTATGGTGCTATTCCAGACTGGAAGACACATGGACAATGTGACTTGTTAGCTGGGGCAATTTTAGATAAGCAGAGAAGAGGAGTGAGGTGTGCAATTTAGTGAAATGAATGGTGTGGATAATAGATGCAGAAATAAGGATGGTGTCTATGGGGGATAATGAGGGAAGTTATAAGTTGGAGGAAGTAAGTTAGACAGGTAGACAAGATTAGAGAGAACACTGAGAGCCAGGCAGAAGGGCCTGGACTTAATTCAACAAACACAGGAAGGAAGCACTGAAGTGACATTAGTTAAGAAATGATAATGAATTATTTTAGAAGATGGTAGGATGGGCATGGCAGGCACTGAGGGCCGAGTTTAAGATCTTTCCTCCCTCCCCTCCCCTCCTCTCCTTTCTTTCCCTCCCTTCCTCCCTCCCTCCCTTCCTTCCTTCCTTCGAGTTTAACATCTTTCTTTTTCTTTCCTTTCCTTCCCTCCCTCACTCCCTTCCTTCCCCCTCTCTCTTTCTCTCTTTCTGAGGCAGAGTTTCACTCTTGTAGCCCAGGCTGGAGTGCAATGGCTTGGTCTCAGCTCACCGCTACCTCTGCCTCCTGGGTTCAAGCAATTCTCCTTCCTCAGCCTCCCAAGTAGCTGGGATTATAGGCACCCGCTACCACGCCCAGCTAATTCTGTATTTTTAGTAGAGACAGGGTTTCTCCATGTTGGTCAGGCTGGTCTCCAACTCATGACCTCAGGTGATCCACCTGCCTCAGCCTCCCAAAGTGCTGGGATTACAGGCATGAGCCACCATGCCTGGCCTGAGTTTAAGATATTTCTTTAAATTACTATTAGTCTAGAGTAGTTAATGAAGACCAATACAAGGATAGCAATTATGGAGGTGGAGAACAGGCAGCACATTTATAGATACTTCAAATTTAAGAAGTTACATGACTTAGTATTGACTGGATTTAGGAAATAAAGGGATAGGAAGTCACAGAGCTTCAAGGTTTCTAGCCTACAAGACGGGAAGAAAACGTGAGACAAAAATGAAGAAACCAGGATTGAAGAACTCATGGGAAGGAGATAACAAGTAACACCTTAAATGAGAGAGAGACATCAAACAGAGATGTCCCCCAGAAAGGCAGCAATTTAAGAATGGAGCATATGTGACAAATCGAGGCCCGAGATGCGGCTTTGGGAGTCAGAGCAACAAAACACACCCAGAAAAATGGTAAGTTCCAGCTAAGTTAGAAAGAGCAGCACCAGGATTTTATTCTTGATGATATAATAGTTAAGTGTTTTTACAAAGCTGATGTTGATTACTTGATCATACATACCTTATTTATTTCTTTTGTTAAAGTCTGAACTGAGTATATGTTTAGACTTCCATTTTCCAGAATAGATGCAATGTACCGTCCATGTGGGCTAATTACTGATGAGCTAATTCCTTCATCAAGGCTCCCAATCTCAAAGAGCAGTTTACAAGTCTGTGTATTGATAAATCTCATAATACCATCTTGACTTAGTACTCCAAGAACCTAAGAGTAGGGAAAAAAAAACCCATAAATTCCTAAAAACACGTGATAGTCAAATGTCTGAAAGTCAAACTATATACACATGTCTTTATATGTATGCAATGTTTCTGTGTGTGTGTGTGTGTGTGTGTGTGTGTGTGTGTGTGTGTGTATTTTGAGGGGGACACCTAGGGAAAATTCCATTCTCAGTAAGATGTTATATATTTTATTTTATTATTATTATCATTTTTGAGATGGAGTTTCACTCTTGTTGCCCAGGCTGGAGTGCAATGGCATGATCTCCACTCACTGCAACCTCCACCTCCTGGATTCAAGCGATTCTCCAGCCTCAGCCTCCCGAGTTGCTGGAATTACAAGTGTGCACCACCACACCTGGCTAACTTTTGTATTTTTGGTAGAGATGGGGTTTTACCATGTTGGGCAGGCTGCTCTCAAACTCCTGAAGTCAGGTGATCCGCCCATCCCGGACTCCCAAAGTGCTGGGATTACAGATGTGAGTCACTGTGCCCAGCCTGATATTATATATTTTAAAATCACAACTTATGGCACATGTTGATTATGCCCTGGTTCTAACCAGAATCTGCAAGGAACTCATCGTGGTGGACTATGGAAAGGCGCCCAAAGAATCTTCCTTTGCCACAGGCAGATCATGCCCACTGATGACATATATGGGGAACAGAGAGGATTAGACAATGCCATAATTTTAATGTGTCTCTCCAAAAGCAAGTATTGGAAACGTAATCCTCAATGCAACAGTGCTGACAGATAGGGCCTAATGAGAGGTGATCAGGGCATCAGGGCTCTGCCCCCATGAAAGGATTAATGGTATTATTATGGGAGTGGGTTTGGTATAAAAGGATGAGTTTGGCTCCTTCTTGTCCCCCCCATTCTTCCCTCCCTCTCTCACCCATATGATGCCTTCTGCTATATTATGACAGAGAACAAAGGCCTTCAAAAGATGCCAACCTCTAGATCTTCGACTTCCCAGCCTCCGGAACTATGAGAAATAAACTTATGTTGCTTATAACTTACCCAGTCTGTGGTATTCCAGCACAGTAGCACAAAACAGACTAAGACAGTTCCTAACTTTCACCACAAGGGCTATCAGAAACAAGGAGGGTGGAGGGGTTGCCTTCCTGTACCTTTCCATAGCTAGTCGGAGCTAATATCAGTCCTGCTGCCCCCACACAAACCTGTCACTCCCACTGAGGCTCCCTACTGTCTGCCTGTTTTCAGCAAATATTTTAACTAACATTTGGAGAATGGAGAGGCTGTGAGTTGCAAGGGTAGTGGAGGGGTAGGAGGGAAGCTAGTCTTTTAAGGGGGAAAAATAGTTTAAATTTTAACTCATAATTTCAAAAACTAGAAATATGTACTTAAAAAGTTTAAGCAAGTAAACCCCCGTGCTGCCTCGTCTAAGTGCAGGTTCTCTTCCCAGTGCCACTGGCTGGTAAGTGATGCCACCATGTGATTGCTTGAAATGCTGATGTCACTTATCATATGAAAGACTGTAAAAGGCAGTTTGGAGGTTAACTCTATAAAGTTCTTCTGTTGGTTGGCTTGTAGAAAGCAAAGCCCCTCATCTGCAGTTGATGCAACTCCTCTGGAAGTCATCTGGGCAAGATCTACCCAAATTACAGATGCACATAACCTCTAAGCCACTATTTCAACTCTGGGATTTTATCCTACAAAAAGGATGTGTGAAATGACACTTGTGAATAGTTATTCAGTGCAGTAGTATTTGTAATAGAAAAGGACTAAAAACAGGTTAAGTGCCAATAGGAGACTGTTTAAAAAAATAAACTGCAACACTACGCACCTGTAAAAAAGAAAGAAGTTCTGCATTGATATAGAAAAATTTCCAATTTAAGAATAAAATGTAGACTGTGTGCAACGGCTCACATCTATAATCCCAGCACTTTGGGAGGCTGAGACGGGTGGATCACTTGAGGTCAGGAGTTCGAGACCGCCCTGGCCAATAATATTTAAAGTTAAATTCCATCTTTACTAAACATACAAAAATTAGCCAAGCATGGTGGTGCATGCCTGTAGTCCCAGCTACACGGGAGACTGCGGAGAATCACTTGAGTCCGGGAGGCAGAGGTTGTAGTGAGCCGAGATTGCACTACTGCACTCCAACCTGGGACACAGAGCTAGACTCCATCTCAAAACAACAACAAAAAGCAAAGAATAAAAGGTACAAGGCTGTATAAAATAACAGGAAGAACATAACACTAGACATAACAACAGTGTATATGGGGAGGTGGGTGAACAACTAGACAAATGGTAGAAAGGCATGACAGACTTCCCATTGTATGCCATTTTATGTTTTCAACCATGTGAATATATTACCTAATCAAAAACATAAGTAAAATAGACATGATACATACATACGTGCATATGTATACATACATACATAAAACATATATCTAATCTCTTAAAATACAAAATCTATGACAGTCTATTTGAAATAAGGAAGTTAAGGTTTGACAGAACTTAACTCTTAAAAAGGAATAAGTGGAGGCGGATGGGGAAGAAGTGCTCTGTAAACTAAGGAAAGATACTGATAAAAACATGTTTCACAGGAGTGAGCAACCAGTTAGGGTAAACAGAAGAACAACACAATGAAAAACTTTTAGGTCTAGTCCAATCTTTAATCCTTACAATAAATAGGAATGTTGGTAAGTCCATGTTTCTAGGTATTAGTGTTATAATCTGTAAAATGGGGAGAATACCATTCCTGCCTATGCTCAAAGAATTAAGGATCAAATAAAAAATAACCTGCTAAATAAAGCTCACTACAAACCATAAAGTACAATATAGATTTATAGTATGTTGATTTTACAAAAAGGGCAAACTGTCAATAGCATAAAGAATACAAGATTTTGAATTTTTTTTCAATTCTAGACTCTTCACAAAAATATATTTATAATTTCAAGTTCTCGTTAACAGCCACGGTGTAAGTTAAATAATTAAGAGTTAATACAGTTCAGAGATGTATTCATTCTTTCTTTAAAAGTACAGTGCCCTACATTTATGTTACTAACCTGATTAGAACCAGCATCAAAACTATCAGGAAGAAATTCTAGATGGCGAATGGCTCGAACTTTAGTGGGCATCTGGATAATTCTAAAGAGCTGTCTAGCTTCCAAGCACCACAAATGAAGATGATTTGACTTGCCTCCAGCAGCCAGGATTCGGCCATCTCTATGTAACAAAAAAGTAAAACAGGTTCAGCTGTTTAAGGCAGCACTATCCAAAAGAACTTTCTGTGATGACAGAAATGTGCTGTATCTATGCTATCCAATATGGTCACACTAGTCACACGTGATTATTGAGCACCTGAAATGTGGCTAATGCTAATGAGGACATTATTTTTAAATTTTATTTAATTTGTATTAATTTAAATAATTGCATGGACAGCTCAGATTTATAGTATATATTTTTTGCCTACTGTGCTGTAAGGCACCAGTTTAACAAACATTTGTTTAATGACCTGATTGTGGGTTTTCTACCTAACACCTACATTTTATAGCATAATCTCAAAGTCACTTACCACTATTCCAACTTTCTATATTTCACATACAGTTATACAGAATTGATGGCAGATGGCTATATGAAAAAACAAAACAGCCCAAACTTTCTTCCTGCTCAAAGAAACCTGCCTTAATAAAGTACAAAAAGACTAAGTTGTTTTGACTTGCAAGACCATTGCTCATTTATTCAACAAAAACTTGTAAAGGACTTTAATTTTTAAAAAGTGTGATAATTCTATGATTATGTTTCAAGTGTCTGCTATAAGCCAGCTATGGTTCCAGAAGCCAGGGACACAGTCAGTTAAGACTGTACAAGTCAAGTAATCCCGCTCTTACAGGATTTTCAGTCTAGAGGAAGGCAAAAAAATAGATTAACTTGATCAGAGCTGGTGATAAGTTCTATACAGAACTATAAAAAAAGTGATGACAGCTGGGAAAGGATCCGATCTGCTACCTGAATGACAGAAGTAGGCCAGTCACGGGATGATCTGGAGGAAGAATTTTATCTTGATTGGTATTCCAGACTGGCTGGAATAGTTACGAGGTTACTCAAGTGCACTGCTATATGAAACACACTGCTACACTCAGATGTGGCTAGAGCAGACCAAGAGGAAGGAAATAGATGAAGTGAGGAAGGCCTAGGCCAGATGACAGAAGGCCTCAGGGGAAATTAGGAGTTGGGGGTTAGATTTTACTCTAAGTGATGAAGGAGGTTAAATAGGAAAGTGACATGCTCTGACTTACTGATTTACAAAAACCACTTTATCTGCTGTGCAGAGAATGACTACAGGAAATGAGATTGCAAACAGGGAGAACAAATAAAAAGGCTATTAGAGCAGTCTAAAAGAGGCTAGGGTAGCTTGGATTAGGGTAATAACCACAGCAATGAATAAAAACGAATTGACCAATTCGATATACAGTTTGGTTGAGTTGATGGGATTTACTGATGACTTAGAAGAACAGGGTAAGAGAAGAGAGGAATTAACATCTATTTCGTAGCTCTTTCCCCTAACAAGGCTAGAAACAATGATCAGCCCAGTCAAAATGAGAACCCCTAGCATCCAGATTAGGGTCTTGAAATACCATTTCCCACAAAAAGAACCTAGACTCTTTAGAGAAATGGCTAATTCCAGGGTTAGGGCAGGAATTGTACAAGATAAGCTTGGAACATCTTGTCATACCAGAAAGCACGAAAGCTTATCACAGGCAACTGGAGCTGTACTAAAAGGATGTCAAAGCCAACTCAAAGAGGATCCTACTAGTCAAAGATGAGAGAACTGAACATCTCTAAGAATGACAACTGCAATGCATTAAAACATGTCAACGGTGACAGGCTAAAATATTTGGGGATTTGGTCGGGCACGGTGGCTCACACCTGTAATCCCAGTACGTTGGGAGGCCCAGGTGGGCGGATCACCTTGAGGTTGGGAGTTCGAGACCAGCCTGACCAACATAGAGAAACCCATCTCTACTAAAGATACAAAATTAGCCAGGCATGGTGGCGCATGCCTATAATCCCAGCTACTCGGGAGGCTAAGGCAGGAGAATTGCTTGAACCTGGGAGGCGGAGGTTGCCGTGAGCCAAGATTGCGCCATTGCACTCCTGCCTGGGCAGCAAGAGCAAAACTATGCCTCAAGGAAAAAAAAAAACAAAAAACAAAAAACTGGGGGATTTGTGTGACTTTACTAGGGAACCACAGGGTTTTTTGATGCCTGATCTAATCCTGTGCCTAACAGTTTATTTAAATCTTAATGCTAATGTTAATTGGTTCACAGGTGGTTAACCTTTTAAGAAAACACTGTGGTATTTTAACATGGTAAACATGTGAATGAAGGCCTTTGGCTCCGTTAATCACTCCCACAATTTTGAGCTGTGGGTTTTATTGGTGCAAAAAACTTTAACAGGCCTTCATTCTTGTCACTAGATATCAGAGAACTGAAATTGGTTGGAACTGTAAGCAGTAAACAGATGTGTTGTTAGAATGATTCTATCACGTCAACTACTCTAAGCCTATGAATTTACAAAGATTAAAGATAAAAAAACTTTGTTGGCCACCTTTGAAAGATGTCAATAAACCACTTCATTTCTTTGAAAACTAGTTTAAGAAAAAAGAGGGGAAAATTAAGCATTTATCCTGCCTTTCCTTTACAACCATACATCAAAATGACCAAAGGGCTGATGAGAGGACATTTCTTTCTACAGAAGGTTTCTAGTTAATAAGCAAAGAAGAAATGAGAGAATTAGAACAGCCCCATTTTGCTAACTTCTAAGGCTGTACAGGATCTAGGTAATGATCACCAATGGCTACAGACATCAAACAAGAAACTGTTCTACGATGTTCCTGATGAAAGTACACAAACCACCTATAATGCCTTCTTGTCCTTAAATCAGATCAAGCCTCTAGTTTTTAAGAAATACAGGTATAACCAGTGTACAGGAAAAATACAGATAACAGAGGATCATACTAAACAACACCATGTGAAGACAAAGAGGAAAATCCAGACTACAGAAAACTCTAGAGGAGAAATGACTAGTTATTTAATGAATAACTACAAGGAAAAAACAAAAGACGAATATATCAACAAAATACATTGTGTGAACCTTGTTTTGCTTCTTACTCAAACAAATCAATGATAAAAACCAGTTATTAGACAAATTAAGGAAGTTTCAACAATGACTAGCTAGCTAGATGACAATATTAAGACATTCTTATTAATTTTTAAAGAGTGCTATAACACTCTGGTTGTTTCCAAAAGGGCCCTTATCTTTCAGAGATAAACTGAAATATTTATGGACAAAATCATATGCTTAGGCTTTGCTTCAAACAATGCAGTAAAGCGGTAGGTGAAGTTATTGATAAAAATAGAAATGGCCATTCATTGATGATTATTGTAGCTTACGGAAATATTTAGGGGCTCTGATGGAGGAAAGGTTGGTATAAATAAAACAACATAAAACAAAAACAAAAACAAAATTACTTAGGGGTTCATGTATTTTTCTATTTTTGTGTATATTTGATATTTTGCACAATAAACAAAAGGTCAGCAGACCATATCTAAATTTGAAGGTAACTTTTTCTAATATGACAAAAAAATATTGAATAAAAACCAAATGAAAATTTATAATTTTTTACTAGAAATTAAATTTCTTAAATATTCCTAGTGTCTTAAAACACACATTACCTGGTCACAGCAAACACTTTGTATAATATACTAGAGCTTTCGGGTGGAGCTGGCAGTTGGTATTTGCAAAAAAGTGTGTCACATTCCCAGGCAAAAATGGAATTATCTTTAAAACAGCTGAGGATGGTATTACTTAATGGCAGAAAGAAAACCTAAGGAGAAATAGAAAAAGTTAGTTTTCACATAAGGTTAATAGCACTCTTTAAATTTAAAATTATACAAGTAGTTATTTTTCTTTATTAAAATATTCTTTTCTTAAGCTGGAGAAAAAAACATTTCTAATATATGATAAGGCGTAATACTGATTATTTCATAAATTATTATTAACTTAAAAAAAAAAAAAACCCTTAAACAAAAACTAGGTATACTATAAGTACTAGGCAAGTCACAAAATTCTAAATGACAGTTCAAAAAATTTCACCTAATATTATTAAAGAGTTAAATGAAAACAAGATACAATTTTGAATATCAATTTTACTTTAAAAATAAAGCACACTAGGCTGGGCGCAGTGGCTCACGCCTGTTAATACCAGCACTTTGGGGGGCCGAGGCGGGCGGATCACCTGAGGTCAGGAGTTCGAGACCAGCCTGGCCAACATGGTGAAACCCTGTCTCTAAAAATAAATAAATAAATAAAATAAAAAATAAAAAAATAAAGCACACTGGCCAGGTGCGGTGGCTCACACCTGTAATCCCAGCACTTTGGGAGGCCGGGACAGGTAGATCACTTAAAGTCAAGGGTTTGAGACCAGCCTGGCCAACACGGTGAAGCCCTGTCTCTACTAAAAATACAAAAATTAGCCAGCCATGGTGATGGGTGCCTGTAATCCCAGTTAAGAGAGTGAGGCATGAACCCGGGAGGTGGAGGTTGCAGTGAGCTGAGATTGCGCCACTGCACTCCAGCCTGAGCAACAAGAGTGAAACTCCATCTCCAGAAAAAAAAAAAAAGTCCTTTGGGAATAATGGCAAAGTGTTTTAAGATAAGTGTATGTTAAGCATTTTTTATAAGACTAAAAAGTTGAAAACACATATGTAACCACATCTTATTAGAGATTCAGGTTATTTAATGGACAACTGAGCATGAAACTGATAGCAAAGTTGAAAATCTGATTATTTTATTCTCCTAATTTCCATTTTCTGTCACATAAGCATTAATAATGCTTACTTTTGTTAATAAAAAATTATTAATGGAAATTAATCAATATTTTCTCATAAAAGTTTCAGTGGCCTTGAATATAATTTTGTGTGTCTTCTGTATAAAACACACACATACATAATGCACTATAGAACATTCTGGTTAATTAAAATAATCTACTCAGGATTAACGCCACTAAGACAATAAAAAATACTAACTCAACTACAGCAGATACTGACAGATCAGGCAAGGGCCTGATCAAGCTCCTTTCTTCCTTGGCTCACTTTGCTAAAGACAATCTCTGGTAGATCTTTTGCTCTCAGATTCACTGTTAGGAAGATTTACAATATGAAGGCCTTATAGATTTCTATGATATATAATGAATGCATTAAATCACTGTTTCAAAACTGATGTCCAAAAGTGACTTAAGAAAATTCTTATTATAATTAGCAGTCATTTTTTTTTGAAAAGTAATAAAGTGTATTCCTACAGGGAAAAGCAAAAGCTGAAAAGTTAATGAACATCAACTGCTATTTTGGCAGAATAGCTGTGATAGATTATTGCCTACATGATTATTCATTACGAGATTTGTGATTTTAATTGCCAGATTTTAATGATTATAAAATTGTTCCTAATGAAGCATGTCATCATTATTTAGATAGTGTCATCTCTTGAGAAACATAAAAACCTTAGGAAAAACTTCAAAACATTAACAAAATATACTTTTTGGGAGGTTAGGTTCAAGGAGGGGGCTGCAGTTTTCCCTTGCAGAATACAAAAATCCTAAGCTTTCCAATTTAGTTTTAGGAGGCAGATGAACCCTTTTCAAGATAGGTTTGTTTGTTTGATTTATTTTGAGACAGAGTCTCCCTCTGTCACCCAGGCTGGAGTGCAGTGGCTTAATCAGGGCTCACTGGAATCTCCCAAGTGATTCTTGTGCCTCAGCCTCCCAAGCAGCTGGGACTATGGCACATGCTACCACTCCCAGCCAATTTTTTATATATTTTAGTGGAGACAGGGTTTCACCATGTTGGCCAGACTGGTCTAGAACTCCTGACCTCAAGTGACTCGCCTGCCTTGGCCTCCGAAAGTGCTGGGATTACAGGTGTGAGCCACTGTGCCTGGCCCTTTTTCAAGGTTTAAAGAGTTTAGGATAGTAATATTAGCAAGGTATCAATAATCAAATGTATTATTTGGCAGAAATTTAGTGAGTGTCCTGGGTACACTGGCTGAATTAAGTTCAGTAAAACACTCTTTATTAGACGTTTTCTGATATCCATCACAAAGCCTTTTCTGATACCTACTGAACTACAATAACCACAAATCCTGGAGATTCCAAAATCCCTAACTAATGAGCTAAATCTCTTACCTCCAAGCATCAACAAAAGAATAAAAATGTACTAATTGGAAGAGGTATAACCGGTTTACTTCAGAAGTAGTAAGGCTTTAGATAAAGATAGGTTTGAAATTGAACTGCAACTCTCTTCTAAACTATGTGATACTGAACAAATTACTTAACATTTCTGGACAAATTACTTAATATTTCTGAACTTTGGATTCCTTTCTTGTAAAATGGGGATAATAGTATCTACTCTTTAGGATTAAAGCTTTAAAATAACTATTTAAAATGCTTGGTTCATGGAACGTACTGAACAACTGGTATCTATTACTATTACTACTAATTACTACTATTAACTGCTTACAAAAATCAGTGGAAAAGAGGTTAGAGTGGCAGGTTCTTTAAAGACACTCTGAAATCAAAGATCCATAGCTCCTTTTCTGACACCCTTGGGGCCAGATGTGTTTCAGAATTCAGATTTCCAATTTTAGATAGGTAGTATGATGTATATTCTACAACATTAGGTAGAACCCCCAGAAACCTGGGCACCACCCCATACTCAAATCTATTAATATTTCAGTCTTGTGTCAATTCAGTTCAGATTTTGACGCCAAATGAATTGAGGTCAGACTGCATTTTGCCACTGAGTTATTTGAACACCTTGGGTTTCTGAATTGTTAATATAATATAGACAAAAACTGAATAAATAACAATTACCCTACAGTTTTATTTTTTTGAGACAGGAGCTCGCTCTGTCGCCCAGGCTGCAGCACAGTGGTGTGATCTTGGCTCACTTGCAACCTCCGCCTTCTAGGTTCAAGCGATTCTTGTGCCTCAGCCTCTCAAGTAACTGGGACCACAGGCACCTACTACCATACTCGGCTAGTTTTTGTATTTTTTTGTAGAGACAAGGTTTCGCCATGTTGCCCAGGCTGGTCTCAAACTCCTGGGCCCAGTGGAATTTCCCAAACGATTCTCGTGCCTCTTAAAGTCAGCCTGCCTCTGAAAGTGTTGGGTACCTGGCACCCCACAGCTTTTTAAGAAAATTATCTAATTGCACTGAGATAATCCTATAATAGGCTTGACAGCAACAGCCGCAATTTTACCAAGCACTTACTATACAACCAGCACTGTGCTAACTTTGTATAGATTATCACACTCAATGCTGAAACCCACCCTGAGGGAGGTACCACAGGCTGAGGATTCCTTATGCAAAATGTGTGGAAGAAGAAATGTTCTGGGTTTTTTTGGACTTTGGAATATGTGAATTATATTTACCAGTTGAGTATATCTAATTCGAAAATCTGAAATCTGAAATGTTCCAATGAGCATTTCCTTTGAGCTTAATATTTGAGCATCACGCTGGCTCTCAAAATGTTTCCAATTTTGGAGCATTTGGGATTTCAGATTTTTGAATTGGGAATGCTCAACCTGTATTTGTGACTGTTTTTATCCTACACATATGGTAAATAGTTTGTCAAAAATGTTCAGCCATGAATCTACTCAAGCCTTTAGATTTAATGTCTAGTTTACAGAAAATACAGGTGAAAGACAGACAAGTTAAACAACACCGATGAGGCAGAAAACACAACTCCAGAATGTGGGGCATTTTCTAAGATAACTGATCTGATCGCTACAAAAAATCAATGTCATGAGGAAAAAAGTGCGAGACAATGTGAGATTAAAAGAGACATCATAAAATGAAATCCGTAACAAAAGACCCACAGCAAGTCACTTTAAGGGACTCATGTGTCATCAAAACAAATAAATAAAGTTCTATTTAAAATATAGAATCAGAATCTGTAATACAAATATGAGTTTAGTAAGAATTTGATAAGAATTAATGTTTTCAGGGGCACATGTTCTCAGAATCTCTTGAGGGCTGTGTCACAGGAAAAAAAAACTTTTTAAAAAACTAATGTTGGCCGGGCCTGTAATCCCAGCACTTTGGGAGGCCGAGGCGGGTGGATCATGAGATCAGGAGCTGGAGACCAGCCTGACCAACATGGTGAAATCTCATCTCTACTAAAAATACAAAAATTAGCTGGGCGTGGTGGCACACACCTGTAATCCCAGCTACTCAGGAGGCTGAGGCAGGAGACTTGCCTGAACCTGGGAGGTGTAGGTTGCAGTGAGCCAAGATTGTGCCACTGCAATCCAGGCTGGGAGACAGAGTGAGACTGTCTCAAAAAACAAAAACAAAAACAAAAACAAAAAACCTAACATTTTACTTTAATATTAAGCTTACAGTTATTTCCTGTTTTCAACAAAAGTGGTCATCACCTGGCCCATCTCCAGTCTTTGTACACCCCAGGAGCTAAGAATGGTCACTTTATTCCTTTTTTTCCCCGAGATGGGTCTCACTGTGTTACCCATCTTGGTCTTGAATTCTTGGGCTCAGGGGATTCTCTCACCTAGCTTTCAGAGTAGCTGGGTACCTGGCTTTAAATGGTTACATTACATTCTGAATAGTTATATAATTTTGCTCTTGAACTGCAAATTTAAAAATTATTTACTGGTCCTTTAAGAAAAATTTGCTGAGCCAGGCATGGTGGCTCATGCCTGTAATCCCAGCACTTTGGGAGGTTGAGGTGGGCGGATCACCCAAGGTCGGGAGTTTGAGACTAGCCTGATCAAAACGGAGAAACCCCATCTCTACTAAGAATATACAAAATTAGCCGGACATGATGGTGCATGCCTGTAATCCCAGCTACTTGAGAAGCTAAGGCAGGAGAACCTGAACCCAGGAGGTGAAGGTTGCAGTGAGCCGAGATCGCACCACTGCACTCCAGTCTGGGCAACAAGAACGAAACTCAGTCTCAAAGAAAAAAATAGAAAAATCTGCTGATAACTTAGACCATAAACATAAATTTATTGCTAAGTTATCAGCAAATTTTTCTATTTTATTACTATTAATTTTTGAGACAAAGTCTTGCTCTGTTGCCCAGGCTGGAGTACAATGGCACGATCTCGGCTCACTGCAACCTCTGCCTCCTGTCAAGTGATTCTCTTGCCTCAGCCTCCCCACTAGCTGGGATTACAGGCGTGTGCCACCATGCCCGGCTAATTTTTGTATTTTTAGTAGAGATGGGGGTTTTACCATGTTGGCCAGGCTGTTCTCAAACTCCTGACCTCAGGTAATCCACCCCCCTTAACCTCCCAAAGTGCTGGGATAACAGGCATGAGCCACCGCGCCTGTTCCTGTTTTATTATTTTAGAACAACTTACTATAAGCACACAACACACTATACATACATTTTCACATTTAATTTGATTCTTACGGCACTAACATTAATATACTATATGCACACATCACACTACACATACATTTTCCACAGTCCTACTTTTAAACTAAAATGTGTAAATGTCCAATCAAGATTAGCATTGGCAACTATTCAGCATATACTGATTTTAATTTCATACTGAAAAGAACAGATGGTTTTTGTGTCATGTGTCATTGTTTCATAACTGTTTCCATGGTGGGTTCAATTCCCAATGTTCTCTTATTTGAAGCTTAAAATTCAAAATGTAAGTAGCAATTAAAGAAGAAAAGACCTATTAAGACATTTGGCCTAACTCCCTAATGAATAAGCTGGTACAACTTTTATCTCTTCTTAATTATTAAAAGCACATTAAAGAACTCTGGGATTTCCATGGAGACTACAACGTATGTATAGTGTGATGTGTGCTTATAGTAAATTTTTGGTTGATATGCATTGTTAGCTGTTCATGTTAATAACCTAGATATTAAAAGTAGTACTGCACGTATAACCTGAAGCAAAATAATTAATCACACAAGAGACTCAGATAATCCTGAAAATAGGATTTAGCTAATGAAATAGAAAGAAAAAAAAACCTTAAAAGCAAGAGATGGTGGGCGTTAAGTAGACAGGGTCTTCCTTGGACTAGAACAACCTAGCAATGCCACATTTCAAGTGGTTTGAGGAACTGGGCCTGCGTGTTCATTTGAATAAAATCAGCCAAACAGAAAGCTTTCAAGAGGAAAGACCTATAATTCCATCCTCTCCTGACTTCTCTACTCCTAACATTTTGAACACCAAAGCCTGGCACAGAACTGGTGCCCAGGCTGAGTGTAGTGGCTCACACCTCTAATCCCAGCACTTTGGGAGAGCAGGTGGGTGGATCACTTGAGGTCAGGAATTTGAGACCAGCCTGGCCAACATGACAAAACTCCGTCTCTACTAAAAATACAAAAATTAGGGCCAGGCGCAGTGGCTCATGCCTGTAATCCCAACGCTTTGGGAGGCCAAGGCGGGTGGATCATGAGGTCAAGAGATCAAGACCATCCTGGCCAACATGGTGAACCTTGCCTCTACTAAAAATACAAAAATTAGCTGGGCGTGGTAGTGCATGCCTGTAATCCCAGCTACTCGGGAGGCTGAGGGAGGAGAATCGCTTGAACCTGGGAGGTGGAGGTTGCGGTGAGCCGAGATCAGGCCACTGCACTCCAGCTTGGTGACAGTGAGACTCTATCTCAAACAAACAAACAAACAAATCCAAAAATTAGCCCGCTGTCATGGTGCATGACTGTAATCCCAGGTACTCAGGAGGCTGAGACACAAGAATCGCTTGAATCTAGGAAGCAGTGGTTGCGGTGAGCCGTGATCATGCTACTTCACTCCAGCCTGGGTGACAGAGCTAGATACCCTCTCACAGAAAAAAAAAAAAAAAAAAAAAAAAAAAAAATAGAACAAGGGGGAAGAAGAAATGGGAGAGAGGGAGGGAGAATTGATGACATGGACAATGTCACGTCATCGTGACACAAAGTGCCTGCATCGTGGAAGACACAGACAGATCCCTAGAGCTGAAGAGATGCCGGGCTTGGAGGAAGAAGGGTCACGGGGCACTGAAAAAGGGTGGGACAGCCAAAGTCTCCTTGACTCCATCCCAGGGCTGGGGAGGCCTGACACTACAGAAAGACTCCACCCTGGCCTCACACCCTGCCAGCTCTGGCACTTGCAGCTGGCCATGCTTCATCTCCAGATCCCTGGGTCTTTGTGTTTGGGGAACAACAAACACTGCCTACTTCACTGAAGTAGTGTCAGAACTGCACTGAGATAATGTATGGAAAGTTATGAATACAATGCCTGAAACGGTAGTAAAGGTTTCAGTAGCTATCATCACAATTGAAGAAAGGGTGACTAGGTGGAGAGAATGGGAAGGTCGTTGGGTGTGGTAAAGGAGGAGGGAACAGCAGTGTGGAAACCCTATGAAAAAGACCAGTTTGGACGTCATATAGGAAACCATAGGGGATGACAGCCAGAGGACATAAAGGACAAAATAACAATGGGAGCTACTATAGAAGGGCCTAGCACACTGCCAAGCCCGTGACATGGATTATTTATTTTATCTCATTTTTCTCACCAGCTCTGGTAAGGCAGTTATCACAGACCCACGTTCCTGTTCAGGAAACGGAAGCCCAGAGAGGTTGGTTATGTGGCTTGTCTGTAAAAAGAAATGACAGAACCAAACTGGGGCATTTGTGGGGCTTAGAACAAGAGTACAATTGGAGGCTCATATACCATATGTTTCTACATGGTTGGAAAAAAACAAAATAAATGGATTTTTAAAAGGTGGTATATTTAAACAATGGAATTCTAAACAGCAATAAGAAAGAACAAACTACTAATAAATATAAGAATGGATGGATGGATCTCAACATTATACTGAGTGAAAAAAGCCTTACATGAACTATTATTGCATAGTTCTGTTTATACGAAATTTTAGAATAGGCAACACTAATCTATGGTGGGAAAACATCAGAGTGGGCTCACCCAGGGAGGGATACAATGGAACTTTCTGGGATAATGGCAATGTTACATCTGCACAGATTACACAGGTGTGTGTATTTGTCAAATTTAACAAATTAATACCTAAGACTTAATATTTCATTTGATGTAAATTTTACATCAACAAATATTGAACCCTAGTAAATTAAGTACAGGCTTAAGTATTTATAGGGAAGTACACTGATGACTGAAGTTTACTTTAAAACACACACACAGCTGGATGTGGTGGCTCATGCCCCATGTAATCCCAGCACTTTGGGAGGCCAAGGCAAGAGGATTGCTTGAGCCCAGGAGTTTGAGACCAGCCTGGGCAACATAGCAAGACCTTGTCTCTATGCAAAATTTAAAAATTAGCTGGGCATGGTGGCACATGCCTATGGTCCCAGCTACATGGGAGGCTGCGGCAGGAGGATCACTTGAACCCAAAGCTGCAGTGAGCTATGATTGCAACGCTACACTGCAGCCTGGGTGACAGAGCAAGGCCTGTCTCAGAACACACACACATACACACACTCTCTTAACGAACAGAGGAACAGAAAGATGGATAGAGCGGCTGGGTGAGTGGTGGCTCACACCTGTAATCTCAGCACTTTGGGAGGCTGAGATGGGTGGATCACTTGAGGTCACGAGTTTGAGACCACCCTGGCCAACATGGTGAAACTGTCTCTACTAAAAACACAAAAATTAGCTGGGTGTGGTGACGCATGCCTGTATTCCCAGCTACTTGGAGAATCGCTTGAACCTGGGAGGCAGAGGTTGCAGTAAGCTGAGATCGTGTTACTGCACTCCAGCCTGGGTGACAGAGAAAGACTCTGTCTCAAAACAAACAAAAAAGAAAGATGGATAGACCCATAAGAGAGAATAGTACCATGTACAGGAAAGAGTAGTACAGTAACATGTTAATGGTAGAATCTAGATGCTGAGTAAACGTGTTCCAAAAATTCTCACAAATCTGCATATTTCAAGTTTTTCATAACAAAATGTCAGAAGGTTAAAAACAAAAACAAAACCAATCAACTAAACAACTTTCACCTTAGGAGAGTTGAAGTTACACAGCTATAATTTTAAAAAAGAGCTCACTAAGTCATAAACTGTAGCTAAAGGCAGCATCTTTGTGTTGGCCACTTTGCTTTCCTTGTTGCTGAGTTACAGAGCTACAAGGACGAAGTGAATCATTACTCTTACATCATCTATACATCCTGCTGACCAAGAAACTAGCCCGAGAAGCACAACAGGCCAAGATGTCCCCCCTCACTGACCTTCTGTATACCCACAGACTGGCGAATATTCAGCTTTCTTTTTCTCTGAAAGGTATCCAAGTCCCATAATTGTGCTGTATCAGAAGAAGTAGTGATGGCATATTTCCCTGACGCATGCACAGAGATTGAAAATACTGATGATTCATGTCCTCTCATCCAGCTAACTAGCTCCTTGGTGACTGTGGTAAAAAACAAAATTGTTACCCAGGTAAAACACTATACGTCTAGAAATAACACTACATAGAAACACCATAGATGAACTGATCCAATGGGCAGTTAGGTATTACATGAGGCACCTCCATTAACATCCACAAAAATGGAAGCCCGTGGCTAGCTGATGAAGTGTACGCTGGGACATGTTAGCAACATCTCTACCATGGAGGCAACCGGAGAGAAAGCTGACAAAGACTTTGATGAAGAATAACCTCAAAAGTGATGCTAGTGAGTTTGGGCTTTCTCTTGTGGGTAATAATTGTATGTAAAAGACATCTAGTCTGTGTTTTAGAAAGAGCACTTTGAGGATATGTGGTGGAGAGGAAGAGATTGGACATGAAAGACTTGTTTCTCTTGTATGTTTATATGCTGCTGTAATAATCCAGGCAGGAGATGTATCGGAGGGCCTAAACTAAGAAAGTGGCAATGGAGAAAAGAACAAATTCAAGAGCTACTAAGGAGAAAAACCAAAAATATTAGTGATCAAGTTGATGTCCTGAGATATAAGAGAAGTGAAGGCTCCAGTGGTTCCAGCTCCGTTATTTAAGCAGATGGTGATACTGTTAGTGGATATAAGAAATACATGAGGCGGGGCTGGGTGGTGGCTCATGCCTGTAATCCCAGCACCGTGGGAGGCTGAGGCAGGTGGATTGCTTCAGCCTAGGAATTTGAGACCAGTCTGGGCAACGTGACAAAACTCTATCTCTAAAAAAATAAGAAAATAAAAAGTAATAACAAATACATGAGGAGGAGCAGATTTGTCAGTGTGAGACAATGATAATACATTTGGCTTTTAAACTTGATTCTGAGGTGCTTGTGTGGTACCTGTGTAAGGAGAGAAAAGAGACTGGAAGGGAAAACACCAAAAACTATTCATGATAATTATCACTGGGAATAAAAGTGTAGGTGATTTTTATTTTCTTTTACACTTTTCTGTATATTTCCAAGTTTTCTACAGTAGGCATGTTTTACTTTTATGATCAGAATTTCCCCCACCCCAGAAAGATGGAACTTAAGAATAGTCAGAAAACAAGATATAAATCTGGGAAACATTTAGCTATAAAGTAGGTCAAAACTGAAGACAGAGAAACAGACAAATCCCTTAGGGAAACAGCAATGGTTTCCAAATACCATTCTGAAGTCTGGCATTAGTTGATGATACATTTTCCATTGGTCTTCAATGAAAGAGAAAAATACAGACAATGTAGTGAGTTTTTCATAAAGTCAAATTTAAAGTACTAACTACCCCTTCGTCTGTATTATGTCACTCCCTGTTTATGTTGAAAGAAAATCCCTTGTTTTATGAAATTGTATTTTTTTCCAATGTCAATTAGCAACATTAGAAGTTGACAAGCTATGTGAGTTCTTCCACTTTTTAAATTGGGTCAAAAATCCAAAAGTCAAGGAACCACTGAAAGAATTCAGGAGACATGATTAAGGAGCAGTTAGTTAGAAAGGCAGGAGGAGAACCAAGGTCACAGAATGAAAACTAAAACTAAAACAAAACAAAACAAAACAAAACACTTTCAACATAATCCCAATTGTTAAATGCTATCGAGAAGTAGGATGCAAGGTATAAAGATGACTTAAACAATCAGGGGTTAGGGTTACTGAGGACCTTGGAGACAGAAGTCTCAATAGCAAGGGGTAAGGGAAGCAGGAGTCGGAATTCATCAATGGATACTGCGAAGAAGCAGAATTTGGCAGACGGGGAAAGAAGGAGGGAGACAGTATCTAAGGAAGGAGTTTTGTGGTGGGGGTTCAGTAAAGCAGAAGAAACTATAAGAACACAAAACAAGGAAGAAAAAGAGGAAAATATTGGAATCTCAGGAAGGGTGAGTTATAAAGACTTCATTTTTCAGATATTTTGTCACAGGAATGTTTGTAACACCAAAAATTGAAAACAGTTTAAAAGTCCAGCAATAGGTAATAAGTTAAAAAATTACGGTAAACATCTATACAGTGGAATGTTAGGTATTGATTTTAGATACGCTGTATGAAGTTTAATGAGATACAATTATCCCACAAAACAATACAGATATAGGATAAGTATGCATTTGTTAGACTATTTAAAAAGTGTATACATAGAAAACAGACTGGAAAGAGAGAGTCCCATCATGAAAACACTGTGTCTCTAGGCATTACTGTAGAATCGCTGTTTTTTTTCTTCTCTGTATGTAGGAGGAGAGTGTAGTACAGTGATTAAGAGCAGTGACTCTGCAAACAGACCACATAGGCTTGGAATCCTGGCTCCACTGCTTATAAACTATGGGACTCTGATTAAGTTACCCATGTGCCTCAGTTTCCTCATCTGCAAAATGGGGATAACAGTATTCATCTCTGTGGGTTATGATGATTAAAATTAATGTGTATAAACTCATAGAAAACTCATGGCAAAGAGTAAACACTACATGTTAGCTATCAGTACTTTTACTATTTTTATTTATACATCTGGCGAATATTATAACACATTGATTATATTAATAAAAAAATACAATTGAGATCTGTTTTTTTAAGAGTAATAGGTTTGGTCTACAGAGCTCTATGTTCTCAATTTAAAAACATAATGTGGTATAAAATACACAGGCTATATTAAAAAAAGACACTGTACCTGTGTGGTAAGGAATTTGACCTTTATAGAGAGGTCTGGCTTCTGTTTAGGCTCCTGTGAGGTAACCTCTAAACCCTTGGCTTAGGAGTGTCTTTGTTATTCCTGGCAGGTCCCTCACATTATACCAGATACTTATGCTAAGACTCAAAGCAGGAGATGGCCACACAAGAAAGGTCAACCATGTGATTAGAAGTTTGGGGCTTTGGGGGCAGGTGACATCAGACTAACTTCTTAGAAGGAGAGGAGGGCTGGAAATTGAGTCCGGCCACGTGGGGAATAATCCAACCAATCATGCCTATGTAATGGAGCCTCAGCAACAACACCAAGTTGGGTAAACTCCCTGTGTCAACAGTGCTTGGTGCAGATGGTCAGCCACGCATCAATGCTGGGAGGGCTACCTGGGAAGGCAATGCAGCCTGAGGACAATGGAGGTTTCCCTTTCGGAAGTCTCCCAGATTCCACTCCATTCGTCTCTTCCTTAGGCTACTTACACTTTGAATCCGTTTGCTATATTAAAACTCTCATCATTAAGTATAGTGCTTTCCTGAGTTCTGTGAGTTGTTCTAGTGAATTATCAAAGCTGACAGTAGTCAGAAACCCTGACTTTGTACTCAACCGATCTAAATAAAGTGAGGCTGCTCCTAGGGCCCCCAGCTCACACCCAGTGTCTGAAGGGAGGGCAATCACGGGGACTGCTCCCTCGAGCTGTACAGATTGGTAAACTTCTCGCAGTTCTTCAATCCATATTTTACTCTGCTTCAAAAGAAAAATAGGAGAACTTCTTACCTGTATCAAAACATTTAATAGAATAATCAGCTAATGCCACAAGGAATTCAGATTTCCTACGAAGATTAAAGGCCAGAGCTGTGCAAGCTTGTGCTGTTCGCTGAACAAGATTGAACCTATTAAGAGATCATTGCATTAGTAACAGAAATTCTTCCAATAATTATAAATTCCACATGGAAGGAGTCCTTAGAGATGAAGAATATGAAACCCAGAAAAATAAACTACCATTTTAGGCCAAAAATAGATTATGAAGGGTTCTATGTGCCATGTTAAGGAGGTTGGATGTTACCAGAATAGGAAACCATTTTAAGTGTTTAGCAGAGCAGAATCACAATCAGGCATGCGTTTTAGGAACATGATCTAGCAGCAATGGCAAATGGATGGAGGGACGTGCAATAAAGATCACTAAGAAAGTTACTACAGAAAATCTCAGTCAGAGATATGGGAGCACAAATAGGAGAGGTTTCAGAAGCCAAGCAGAGACTCCCTATGCATTAAACACGGAGTGGAGTGAAGAGGAGGAATCTGGACTTACTCTTCTGTAAAATGAAGATGAGAATAGATACAAAGTTTTTGTGATGACTAAATGAAATAATACATGTTGAGTGCTCAGTAGAGTACTGGGCACACAGCTAGAGTTTAATTTACAAAAAAGTAAGCTTCTGAACTTGGGCAAAAGAGGAGTAAGTTTGGGGCTAGGAAATAATAAATCTGTCTTTAAACATATTGTTTAAGGCCCTGGGGAAACTAATCTAGAGTTGTGTTGTCTGAAAAAAATAGAATGTAGGCTACATATGTAATTTAAATTTTTTCTAGAAGCCATATTAGAAAAGTAAGAAGCAGCAGGTAAAATTAATCTTAATAATATATGATATGCTTTGGCTCTGTCCCTACCCAAATCTCATCTTGAATTGTGGCTCCCATAATTCCCACCTGTTGTTGAGGGATCCAGTGGGAGACAACTGAATCATGGGGGCGGTTTCCCCCATACTGTTCTCATGGGAGTGAATAAGTCTCACGAGATGTGAGGGTTTTATAAGGGGAAACCCCTTTCCCTTAGTCTTCATTTCTCTCTTGCCACCACCCTGTAAGAAGTGCCTTTGCCTTCCACCATGATTGTGAGGCCTCCCCAGCTACATGGAACTGTGAGTCCATTAAACCTCTTTTTCTTTTCTTTTCTTTCTTTATTATTATTATTTTTGAGATAGGAGTTTCACTCTTGTTGCCCAGGCTGGAGTACAATGGTGTGATCTCAGCGCACTGCAACCTCTGTCTCTCAGGTTTGGGTGATTCTCCTGCCTCAGCCAACCAAGTACCTGGGATTACAGGCATGCGCCACCATGCCTGGCTAATTTTTTTTTTTTTTTTGTATTTTTAGTAGAGATGGGGTTTTTCCATGTTGGTCAGGCTGGTCCCGAACTCCCAACCTCAGATGATCTGCTCACTTCACCCTCTCAAAGTACTGGGATTACAGGCATGAGCCAGCACCCCCAGCCTACACTTCTTTTTCTTTATAAATTACCCAGTCTCAGGTATGTCCTTATTAGGGTGAGAACAGACTAGTATACTTTATTAACTCAACATGTTTCTAAAACACTATTTCAATATTTAATTAATTAAAAATTGAGATATTTTATACTTTTTATCACATTAAGTCATCAAAATCCAGTGTGTATTTTTTTTTTAATGCAGCCCCAGCTGTTGCAGTGTGCATTTTAATTTTACACATGCTTCATGTTTCAGTTTGGACCTGTCACTTTTCAAGGGCTCAAGAGTTACATGCAAGCTAGTGGCTCCTGGAGAGCCCAATCTAGATTTCCAGTAGGTAGTAGTAGCAGAAGTAGGTCTAAGTCAACAGTGTTTACATGGCAGATGAAGCCTGAGGCTTGATGGTGATGAGATTATCAAAAAGAGTAGCTGAAATATGGAAGTAAGCCAAAGACAGATTGTCTGGGAGCACAACACTGAAAGGGCAGGCACTGGAAGAGGGGTCAGTAAAACAAGGGGAAAAATGATTAGAGAGACAGAAAATTCAACAGAGCTGTGTACCATGAAGCCAAAGAAAAGAATTTCAGGGAGGATGGGAAGATAAGAGTATGTAGTGTTTTAGTAAAATGAGAACTGAAAAGAGACCAATGGATTGAACAATTAGGAAGACTTTGAGGGAGCCCAGTATAGTAGGCTTTATGATCAAGTCTGATTTTAAGTCTCAGCTCTGCCACTAACTGCTCAGCTCGGCCCCAAATGTTTTTAGTGAAGGGTGGCAGACCATGCCATCCCATAACAGGCCACTTTGGCATAAGGATTATTTTGAGCTGAATTGAGAAAAAAACAGATAAAAGCTCTCTGCCCTTGTCTAAAAGTTTACATGAATTTGCATACATTTACAAAGGTGTCCCTCTTCCCTTCTCTACCAGGAAGGACAACGGCTGATCACGGGAGATGACTTTAGATCTTTATTATCCTGGAAATAGCACCAGAGAAATCTATATAGCTAGCCTTTAACCACCGTTAGTTTCCCATATATTTCCGTTCCCACAATTTGCTGCCCCTAGAGACTCAAGGTCCTTTTCTTTTGTCTTGTCACTTCTCTAAAAATGTACTGTTCTTTAATGGCGATGCTATATAAGCCAGAGTATAAGCCACTTTTTGAGTTAGTAATACCTGGATACTGTTACGTTACATGCATGATACAAGTTGATAACGCCTCATACTAATTCCTGGATACTCCGGGTATTCTCATGGGTTACATGCACGATACAAATTAATAACTTGTTCATTCTTCTCTTGTTAATCTGTCTCTGTTTCAAGGGCCCCAGTTGAGAATTTAGAGGGGAAGAGGGAAAATTATTTTTTCTCCTCAACAACCAATAGTGAAAAAGGGACAAGAGACAAAATAGTAACGCTCACAGGGCAATGTCTCACGGGAGGCTATAGAAGATAGGGATTAGCACTGGGAGAAATTAAGATCACCTGTTTTTATGAATAAGTTAATGAGGGCTGAACTTTATGAATAAGGTAATGGAGGCTGAACTTACAATATATTTGAGGCTGCAATGGGAAGGAGAAAGGAAAGCTTGCAGGTGTCCATTTTCTCATGAATCAGGAGGGCTGGCAGTCAGAGTAAGAGTAGAGTCCAACACAAGGAGACAAGGAAATTGGTAAAGGTTTGCAACACTTGGTGGAGAATAGGAAAAGTAAGTAACAGTAGATAAGCAAATGAAGTGCAAAGAATCCTTGATGTTGAAGTTCATTATTCTGTCATGAAATCAATTGACAATAATTATTTATTTCAGGATATGGGCAAATAAACAGTGGTACTCCTTTCGGATTAGGAATTGGTGAGGTAAGTGAAGCAAGAATAAAGGATAGAAAAATTGGGCCTATTACTTTTTTGGCAGAGGGCAGAAAAAAATGATTTACAGACTTTTGACTAATGAATCACAGATAAGTAAGTTACACGTCACATCTTTTCTTGAACTATTTGAGAATAAGTTACCAAGATCAAGTTTCCTATAAATAAGAAAACTCTCCCACATAATCACAATACAACCATCAGCACCAAGAAATTACATTTCTACATTACCAACATCTAATCCTAAAACTCCAATCAAATTTTGTCAATTTTCCTAATAATGTTCTTTATAGCAAAAGGATCTGTCCAGATTCATGCCTTTGTCATGTCCCTTTAATCACCCTCAGATTAGGAGTTCTTTAGTCTTTAACCGAAATGCATGAGCTTGTCCCTTGTGGAGATTACAGGACAATTTTCTTATTAGATGTCCTTAATTTAGCTTTGTGTGACGATCCCACTGATTAGATTCAGGTTATATATCTTGGCAGGAATATCACAGAAATGATGCTGTGTTCTTTTCACCGCATCCTATCAGGTGGCACAAAATTTTGATTTATTCCACTACTGGTTATATGAACTTCAGTCATTTGATTAAGGCAGTGTTTGCTAGGCTTCTTCATTGTATAATTACTCTTTTTTTTCCCTCTATAATTAATAAGTACTTTGTGGGGAGGTACTTTGTGACTATTCAATATCCATTTTCTATTAAACTGTTTGTTGATTACAACATGAACTCACAGATTTCAATTGTATTCAATGGATGACCCATCTCCAATGTGACCAGACGGAGCTCCTTCAAGCTGGCAACTGTGTCTTTTGGACACATCCCAATCATTCTTTGAACAGTTCCTTTTTTCTGGCTATAAAATGTTACAGGCTCATCCTGTACTTCCCCTGTCCACATTCTGAAGTTGGCCATTTCTGCAAATATCCTTGATTCCTTTTGGTAGAAAACGGTATTTTGAAAACAAGAACTCAACCCTGGGTATGTTCATTACTACTGGCGTGCTGTTGTTCCCAGGCCCTCTGCCTATACAAAGCTAAGGAATATGTGTGCATATATTAGTACATACCTCTATTTAGTTCTATATCTCTATAGATTCAAAACCAGGGGTTCAAACTGATATATCTAATTCCAGTACAATACCACAGGGTTTATTCTAGTTTTCTGCCTTCCATATTTCGAAGTCTCTTTTCTAAGAATGAGAAACCTGGCCCTCATTATCCCTCATAACCTATATATTCATTTGATCAAAGCCCCCTGTATTAAACTAGCTTCCCATCCCTGCCGCGCTCCCCAGGCAGACACCCTCTGCTTCTCTTGCTGGGCTGCTGCAGCTCTCCTTCCTGCCTCGCCCCACTGCATGAATATCTACCTCCATATATCCCACCTAATTGCTTTTGGACTAAATTGTTTCACAAGGGAAGAGATGAGGAAGAAGAATGAAAATCAACTTTTTTTTTTTTTTTTTTTTTTGAGACGGAGTCTTGCTCTATTGCCCAGGCTGGAGTGTAGTGGCAGTGGCACAATCTCGGCTCACTGCAACCTCCACCTCCTGGGTTCAAGTGATTCTCCTGTCCCGAGTAGGTGGGATTACAGGCATGCACCACGTCCAGCTAATTTTTGTATTTTAATAGAGATGGGGTTTCACCATGTTGGCCAAGCTGGTCTTGAACTCCTGACCTTAAGTGATCCACCCGCCTCAGCCTCCCAAAGTGCTGGGATTTACAGGCCTGAGCCACTGTGCCCAGATGAAAATCAATTCTTTAAAATTCTTAGATCTGCACACCATAACAAAAATGTGCAAAGAAAATTGCATTCTTTCTAGATTGCCTGATGATGCACCAGAAACTGATATATTGGAATTGGCTGGGCATGGTGGCTCAAGCCTATAATCCCAGCACTTTGGGAGGCTGAGCTGGGCAGATCACTTGAGCTCAGAAGTTTGATACCAGCCTGGCCAACATGGTGAAACCCCATCTCTACTAAAAATACAAAAATTAGCCAGGCATGGTGGCAGTTGCCTGTAATCCCAGCTACTCAGGAGGCTGAGGCAGGCAAATTGCTGGAACCCAGAGGCAGTTTACAGTGAGCTGAGATGGTCCCACTGCACTTCAGCCTGGGTGACAGAGTAAGGCTCTGTCTGGAAAAAAAAAAAAAAAGAGCAATAATGACTTTTTAAAATTTAAGAAAAAAATAAACTACTAGAGATACTTTTAAAACCAGCACTTTGATTCTCTAAAATGTGAACCTATTATCATTCTGTCCTTTCCGACTTTCTTCCTTCAGTACTTACGACAGTATTTTGCAAGGTGCCTGAAATATAATAGAACTTAATAAATCTTTCTGAATGAATAATGAATAGCAGGTACTAAAACAGTCAGTGAATTAATAACCTATTAAATAATGTAGATATCAAAAGTATCTGCTTACCTGTTTCCACACAAGTCAAAAACATAAATATTTCCTTGGTGGTCTCCAGCAATTAAGCAGTCGCCTGTGCCATCGAAAGCCACATTCAAAAATCGCAAAACTTTTGGATGGTAATCAGAAGTGCTGTGAATGATGTTCACTATAATTCTGTCAAAGAAAAAAAACCCAAACACTGAATTCTATGTCAAGTATTACTTGATATTATGAAAAATATTGCAAGTAAAGCATTTTGTCTATTCCTTCTTCCCTCTCCTACTGCTCTACACATTTCTCCTCTAGAATCAATCTTGCCAGGACTTTAGAAAAACAGTTCAGAAGCCACTCATTACCAAAGTGGGTGCTGTTCATTTATTCCTCAAATACTTGAAAACTCAGTGTGTCACATACCAAACAAACCAGGTGCTAGGAATAACTGATACAGTCCCTGCTTTAATGGAGCTTACAGTTTAGTAATAAGGACATTAAAACACACACACACACACACACACACACACACACACACACACACAAACAGATTTATAAATTGTGATTAAGTGATAAACAGGGTATGAGATTTTACATTTGTGTATGGGATGTTTCACAGTGAATTAAGTGTGCATGAGTCTTACTTTCATTTCTAATGTATCTACCATGAATTCCCTGGCAGGTGAACTCTGTAAGGATAGGACAACTGCTTGCTCATTACCGTATTCCAACACCTGGCCTACAACACACAAAAGACACTCAAAATATGCCTATTGAATGAACAAATGCTTTAAGAAATAATTCTTTAAAACCCACATTAATCATACTTCTATGTACAAGAGTAAGAGAGCTTATTTTTCAATCTTATTCTAGAGACACATATGTAATGATTAAACTGGTTTTTTTTTTTTTTTTTTTTTTTTTGGTTGTTGTTGCTGTTGAGACAGAGCCTCACTCTGTTGCCCAGGCTGTAGGCAAGTGGCACGATCTTGGCTCACTGCAACCTCTGCCTCCTAGGTTCGAGGGATTCTCCTACCTCAGCCTCCCGGGTAGCTGGAATTACAGGCATATGCCACCACCCCCGGCTGCTTTTTGTATTTTTAGTAGAGACAAGGTTTCACCACGTTGACCAGGCTAATCTTGAACACCTGACCTCAGGTGATCCACTTGCCTTGGCCTTCCAAAGTGTTGGGATTACAGATATGAGCCACCGCGCCCAGCCATGATGAAATTGTCAAATGAAAATGAGAACATCTTAACCTGAAGTTTTAAACACTGATATATACATACACATACAATTAAAAGAAAAAGATAAAAAAGAAAAATCAAAATCAACCCCGTCTCTAGACAAATTACAAAAAATTAGCCAGGGATGGTACATGTGCCTATGGTCCCAGCTATTCAGGAGGCTGAGGTAATAGGATCACCTGAGCCTGGAGCGGTCAAGGCTGCAGTGAGCTGTGATCACGCCACTTCACTCCCGCCTAGATGACACTGTAAGGGCCTGTCTCAAAAAAAAAAAAAAAAAAAAAAAAAAAGAGAAGAGAAAAGAAGAGAAAGGAAAAGAAAGGAAAGGAAAGGAAAGGAAAGGAAAGGAAAGGAAAGGAAAGGAAAGGAAAGGAAAAGAAAAGAAAGAGAAAGAAAGAAAGAAAGAAAGGAAGGAAGGAAGGAAAGGAAAGAAAGAAAGAAGGAAAGAAAAGAAAAGAAAGAAAGATCTACATATAGGGAAAAAGGATGAATGCAGCCAAATATGAATAGCAGCTGTCTGCAGGTAATAGCAATATGGTTAATTTTTTCCCATTTCTACTTTTTAGTAGAGACGGGGCTTTACCTTGTTGGCCAGGCTGGTCTGGAACTCCTGATCTTGTAATCCACCCACCTCAGCCTCCCAAAGTGCTGGGATTACAGGTGTGAGCCACAGCGCCCAGCCTAGTTTTTGGATTTTATATTAGAAACATCTAACTCCATTGTCACTTCATTAAAGCATGCTAAATTGAATTAAGTGGATTAAACATTTTCTTCATGTTTATCTAAACATAAGGCTTTTTAGACTCATTAAAGGAAACAGCAAAATTCTTACAATGCTTATTTTTATCTAGTCCCCAAGGAATTAAAAACACAAAAATAAACATACAGAAATGACAAGTAATATCAAAATGTTCCATGGCAACTAAACTCAAAGCAAACACCTTTTTCCTCCAGTCTTTTTTCTATAACACTTATTATATGTTCTGACTACAAAATTACAGTCATTGTTCAAAATGTGAAAGATATAGAAATACACTAAGAAACAAATTATAATCCTACCACGTAGATGCAATCACAACAGCGACATTCTGTCCCTCTGATTTTTCATATAAACCACATGTACAAGATTTATTTTTGAGCAACTTCCTTTCAGTTTCCCACAGATTGCCTGACAGAATTCCTCAGTTCTCAGACATAGTAAGAATATCAAATATTTACTGGGCACCAAAAGTCTAAAACAATCCTGTCAGGTAAATCTGATTATCCCACTGACAGCCTTAGTGATTAACTTGCCCAAGGTCAGAGTTGGTAAACGGACATTTACTTCAACGAAAAACATCTGACTCCAAGTCAGTGCTCTCTGCCTGTCTAAACAGCATAAACAATGGGTTTTAACAATACAAAGATGAGCTGTGTTTTAGTGGAAGGAGCAAACCATAAAGACATTTGGATAATGAGCCCATTTCTTTCATTTTTTGAATCTTGCACATATATCTAGATATTTTGTAACAGCAAGAAAGAGAAGGTGAGTTGGCTGTAACTTTTAGAATGTTTAGAGAATACCAGAGGTGGGGGTGGTATTTACCCAAATCAAAATTTGAAAATGAAAAATCTGAGGAATCCCTACTTTAGACAAAATTTTTTATTTAATGTAGTTGATGAGACAGCAGCATTGATAAAGAGGACTGACAGCAACCGGGAACCAAAGAAACTGCTGGTAAAATGTCTCACTCCCACTTTGGATATACATAGTAGACACATAAAGTCTGATTGGTCAAGAAGCAACCAAAGCATCAACAGAAAAATCACTAGAGGCCGGGCGCGGTGGTTCGCACCTGTAATCCCAACTTTGTGAGACTGAGAACAGACGGATCAGCTAAGGCTAGGAGTTCGAGACCAGCCTGGCCAACCTGGTGAAACCCCGTCTCTACTAAAAATAGAAAAATTAGCAGGGTGTGGTGGCGCGCGCCGGTAACCCCCGGTACTCGGGAGGCTGAGGCAGGAGACTCGCCTTAAGTCGGGAGGTGGAGGTTGCAGTGAGCCGAGATCGCGCCACTGCCTGGCAACAGAGCGAGACTCCGTCTCAAAAAGAAAAGAAAAATCACGACAAGAACAAGAAACACACTGAAACAGGAACTCAAGCGATTTCTGTGAAATCCTAGGGAATTAGAAGCATTAAGATCACTCCGCGTGCAGAAATCGAAATCCAAATGGCACCGCTTTGGAGCAAAGGTTTCCAGGAAATCGCACAAGAGGCTAAGCTTCAAACAGGAAAGGTAACTGGGAACAGCATGAAAAGCAGCGCTGGCCGTACTAGGAGCCCTCCTGCAACGCAGAATGGAAGCCCTGCCCCTAACATACACGCCAACAGTAAACTCCAGAGAACCGAAGTGTGTTTTGCTCCATCGGCGTCCCCAGAGCTTAGAGGTGCGCTTGGCATACAGTAGGCGCTCAACAGTTGATGAATGCTTGCGCGCCTGAACACATCCAAGGATGTAAGGAGGGATAAACTGCAGTCTTTGGAAGGGGCAGAGTGTCCTGCTCTTTCACCCGCATCTCCGCCTGGAGTTCTGCTCCAGCCCCAACTGTTAATACTCACTGAGCACCTACTACGTGCCAGGGACACTAGCGGGATACCGTGATCATTAAAGCAAGATAGTCCCGGCACACACCAAGAGCCGCAAGTTCCCAGGTGTGAGGACCACCTGCCTCCTCCTGCTCCTTGCGGTCCCGGACTAGACCCCCGCCCGGCAGAACTCAGACGAGCGTCTCTGCGGACCCTGCGTCCGGAGCCACCTGTTCCACCGCAGGACATCCAATCCACGGATGCGGGGCTGGGTCCGAGCCAGAACCCGGACCGCTGCCCGGCGCCCCCTCCTCGCCGGTCTCTATTCTCTCCACAGCCCGCGCCCTCCCGCCACCGCTTTTACCCGTCCCGCGTGGCCGGGGACGGCTTGCGGTGCCATATCTTGCCGCTCTCCTTGTTGCCCAGGTCCGTGCTCTGCATGGCGAAGCTCGTCCGCCACCGCCTGCGGCCCGCTGGATAACCGTTCCGACGCCTTCCCGGCAGGCCACGCGCTCCCGGCCCGGGAAATTTGAGCGCCAGATGGGGCGGCCTGAGTCCGGCATCCGCCAGGCGCACCAACCCTCTTTCTACTAACAACCAATCGGAAGGCTGATTCCTCCCAAACTCCGTCGAGGCTTCCCCTCCCGCTCTGGACAATGGAATCGACCAAAGATCTTCTCTTAGACTCCGCCCCTTTCTGAGGTCTGTCTTCACGCCCCCGGACCCAAAGCCTTCTGGGAATCGTAGTTTTCTGCAGGTGGATCATAGAGGAGAGGAATTGGCTTTTGGCATGCTCCCCTTTGGGAGACTTGCGGGGTTTTAGGCTCCCATCAGAGGCAATGAAAGTGATTTTCTCCTGTGATTCCTGCATTCCGTTCTAAATTGCTTTTAAGGGTTAAGGAATTGTATAGAAATAACTAAGAAGCAAGGAGACAAATGCAGAGAAGCAAGGAGACAAACGCATTGAGAGTGGATGGGTTTCTTTTATAGAACTTTTGGGCTCAAAAGAACCTTACAGATGAAAAATAGTCCATGTTTCTTGACCTTTTCACCATCCTCATGGTTTTGTTTTTTCAGTTCCGTAATCTATCAAGACCTTTTGGCAATATGTTGTCCAGTCCACCAATCACGGTCCAGAAAAGCAATAATATCAACAACTGGCCGCCTTGACTTTAGAGTTCTTTGGTAAAAATACACTTAGTGCCTCTGGAGGGCTTAGTAGGTACGGGGCACTTTTCTACTTGCTTTCCGAATATATCAACTCCTTTAATCCTTGCAGCAAATTTACAAGTTAGGTGGTACTAATTATCTCATTTTTAGTGCTCTATGAGGTTGTGCGTTAATTTCCTGAGGCTGCCGTCACGAATTACCACAAACTTGGTGACATAAAAAAACAGAAATGTATTCTCGGGAATTTCTTGAGGCCATACATCGGAAATCAAAGTGTCTGCAGCCTCCTATCAGGCTCTAAGCAAGATTCTCTTACTTGTCTATTCTTCTAGGGGGTGCTGGCTTTCTTGGCTTGTGATCACATCGCTGCATTCTCTGCTTCCATCTTCATACGTCTTTCTATTCTAGGACGCGTCTTTTTCTCTTCTGTTTCAAATCTCCCTCTGTTTTTCTCTTATAAGGAAACGTGTCACTGGGTCCATATGAATAATCCAGGATGATCTCTTCATCTCAAAATCCTTAATTACATCTGCAAAGACCGTTTTTCTAAATAAGGTAACAGTCACAGATTTTGGGATTAGTATGTGGACATATATTTGGGGGGGGGACACAATTCATCCTATTACAGGTAAGTACTAATATTGCCCACTTTTGCAGACAAGGAAACTTTAAGTCTTTCTATGTCTGGTCCCCGTGTTATTCCACAACAGAAAAATGACATTAAAAAAATTATATGGTCGTGGTATTTGAAAAGTTTAAACTCTTGATCAGAAAGACAATTTCTCAAAAAAAAAAATACTAATGCAGATTTTTAAACGTTATATTGTTATCAAGGGGTGGCTCCAAAAGATCAGACAACTTGTAATGAACCTGTTGCCGAGGAAGCAACTGCAGCTCATCTTTATTTATTGGTTTTGAGATGGCGA